ACTGTAACACTGTGATACTGTCTGTCTGCTACACTAGAACACTGTGATACTGCCTGTCTGCTGCACTGGAACACTGTGATACTGTCTGTCTGCTGCACTGGAACACTGTGATACTGTCTGTCTGCTACACTAGAACACTGTGATACTGTCTGTCTCCTGCACTGTAACACTGTGATACTGTCTGTCTGCTAGACTGTAACACTGTGATACTGTCTGCTGCACTGGAACACTATGATACTGTCTGTCTGCTAGACTGTAAAGCTGTGATACTGTCTGTCTGCTAGGCTGTAACACTGTGATACTGTCTGTCTGCTAGACTGTAACACTGTGATACTGTCTGTCTGCTAGACTGTAACACTACTGTCTGCTGCACTGGAACATTGTGAAACTGTCTGTCTGCTAGACTGTAACACTGTGATACTGTCTGTCTGCTGTACTGTAACACTGTGATACTGTCTGCTGCACTGGAACACTGTGATACTGTCTGTCTGCTGCACTTGAACACTGAGATATTGGAAAGGGTCTCGGTTGTTTAGCATTAGTTATGAACTGTGATGTCATGACAGTATGTGTTACAAGAAGTTCGCAATTTGAGTTTTCATGAAAGTTCAGGAGGCCGGACAACAGTCCAGATCTCCCTCACCTCTGCTAATCTGTGCTCTAATTCTCCATGATGTCATTTCCTGAAAAAGCAGGAATGAGAGCCTGTCATTGTAGTGAGCGATCAGGTCATATTGTAGAGATGTCTGACACTTCCCTCCCAAACTCAGCTGTATTATTAACAGTCGAAGCTCTTCTGACTCCAGAGCAGCTGTGGGAGTCTGGATTGAGCTGTCCTGCTGTGGTGTTGAAGCCGATACCCTGGCTTCTCTCAGGACACAGCTGGGTGAGCTCCTGGATCAGTGAGCTCCTAACTACTGAACTGCTCTCGTTTCTCACTGTTCTTCTGTGTGGATGTGTTTTATACAGTAAGAAACCTGTGGAGTCTCTGAGTGAAGATGCTCAGAACAGACA